CCATTCGTGACCTTTGTGTTCAACAAAGTGACGCCAATCACAGAACTGTGTCAACAGCTCGTCAACGAAGACCTGATGACCAATGAGGTGATGGAGACACTGGTGTCTGCGTCGGCCATACCGTGGATTCGGCTCCAGTTTTGCGCCCATTTTGTCACCAAATTTATTGTCGATCTGAAGAGTAAATACATTAATGAGAAGAAGAGACAGATTTCGCTGAAACTGATTGTCGAGTGTCTGACGAACGCCAGGATATTGTCAACGCCTGCCAGTAGTCTTCGCCAATCGTTGACAACGCAGACGGCGAGCAGTAGTTCCCCACCGAAGACACGGAGGTCTGGCGGCAAAGGGTCGCCCATTAAGAAGCGGTCATCGCTTGGATTAGTGAACAAACGGCGGCCGAAAGTCGCGGCAAACAAACAGTGGTCTAAACGCAACAAATACGGGGAGAATGGCTTACATACGGCTTGTATTAAAGGACAGACAGATAAGCTCCGGGAGCTGTTGGCGATGTCTGTGGACGGGTTTGGTCTCGACCCGAATGAGTGCTGTTTTGCCGGTTATACCCCTCTATGCGAGGCTGCGATCCACGGGCGCCGCGACTGCATTGAGGCCCTCATAGAGTGGCAAAAGGCGGCCGACAAGCGCCTGGACTTCGAGGCCGGTCCCGACAAACAGACAGCCCTTCACGACTGCATTGAAAACAATAACATTGAGTGCGTGCAACTGATCCTCGAGTCTGGAGGACTGGATCTGTTGAGAGTTCGCCGAACATTCGATGGTAAGACACCGGCAGATGTGATAAAAACACCTGAAATGACGCAAATGATCGACAAATTGCGGCAAAAATCGGAGTCAAAGGTCTATAAACCGAAGATTAACGTGAAGACTGCGGAGGACTCGCGAGTGTTCATCAAAATAGTCACTCAACTGATCCACACCTACATCGAGACCACGAAAATCAATCGCTTTGTGGGCTATTCGCAGCATTTGTGGCCAAACATGTTCTT